GGGCAGGCCCTCGGCTCCTCTGCTCCCTATCGCCTTCTCCCCAAGGACTGCCTGGCACTCAGAGCCCCTCCATCTCCCGTTTTGAAAAGCCTTCCTCAGACCACCTATGGACAATGAGTGGCTGGCCCAGCTCAGCCTTCTGGAACCATCCCCATCCACCCAAGCTGACTTGCAAAAGCCGGCCAAGACACGGAGGCCCAATGCTGAGGAAACCAGAGCCCACAGGACCTGGGGGAGGCAGTGGGTAGGTCCCTCACTTAGGTGCCTCGAGCCTGTCCCCACACACACGACGATGGCATGTGGACTCTGGGGCAGTGTTCTCTGGGTCCAAGGCATCCAGTTTCTTGCAAGAAACTTCAGTGGCTGCACAGGAAGCTGTGCCCCTCCCTGGGCACAGGCTCTGGTGCCCACAGCGGGAGCTGGCCCTCCAGGGCCAGTCCTAAGAGCAGCCGGGGGCTGGGAGTGGAGCAGGAAGAGGCAGCCGGGGAAGTGAGGAAGACTGGGGGCAGGCACCTCGAGGTCTCAGTGAGCCAATGAGCCGGTGGGTATGTGTAAGAGAGAAGCAATAGCAAAAAAACACACCATGGGGGGCTCGGGGAAAGTATTCTTGCTACACCCTTTCTAAAAAATAAAGTACAAAAGTAAAATAAAGATGCTAAGAGCCAACACTATTGACCGCAATAACCCAGCACCAAGCACTGGGCGGGACAGGTGTTCCATCCACCATCTTCCTGACGGCTCACAGTGCCCCCTGACTCAGAGAGGCACACAGCCAGGTTAGCAGTGGGCAGAGTCAAAGTCAGGCCCAGAGTGCCAACTGGGAAAATACTCCCAGCCACCCAATAACCACATCCCACCAACTCCAGACTGGAGTGCTCTGGGTGCTCTGTAGTGTGGGGAGCGCTACCCAGTTAAGGCCTGGTAAGAGCACCGGTGCCCCAGGTGGCCTGCCTGCACCCTGGCCACACGGACCTCTCTTGGCACCAAGCATCAGCTCTTTAGAGGACTTGAAAGACTGCTAGCGCAGGGACCGCTCGCCTGGAGAGTCCCTGGGAAAGGAGCCGTGAGCACCCACTCACAGGTGAAAGCAGCCACTGACACCCTGGCACAGGTGGTTATCTGTGTCCCCCTACAACTGTCTTTGCAAAATCAGCCAGATCCCAGTATTCCGACTCCCGCTCTAAACCAAGCCCAGTCACTGTCCTGCTGGAGGAGAGCAGCTGGAGGAGAGCAGCAGGAGGGCGTGTGTGCATTCTGCAGAAAGAGGAACTGCTGTGCAGCTGACACCACTTCCTCCAGGGCCACCCTCAGAGGACTGAGGGTGGGACAGCTGATGGCCTGGGGGCTGATGTCCTGAAGCAAGCTCTTCTCACTCTTCCTTAGGACTTTCCCGAGTGGACTCTCGGGCAGGCTCGGTCCCAGGAGCCTTCGAGATAGGCACCTTGTGAGGAGTGACCCCGGCATTCACTGGCAGCAAGCACTGCTGTATTAGGGGGAGGAAAGGGTTGGAGCCCAGCAGGCAAGGGGACCGTTTCTTCGGGTCCTGAACAAACCGTGATGTGTGGTCGGCGCTAAGAACATACCCAGAGCCACATCCTCAAGCAAAGTGTGAACTAACACCCACTCGTGGCCCCAGACAGGCTGGCGCGGCTCTCGTGGGCGCACGAGACACTCGCAGCAGTTCGGCAAGTCGGCCCTTCACCTCTGACCTCATTGCACCAAACACAATGTGCCGTTTCCACTCAAAATAACCCCCACTCCTCTTGCCAAGGGGCTTAAAATTTCATACTTCCGCCCCACTCCCCCGTCACTTAGCCCTTTAGCCGTGTCTAGAAAATTCCTTTCACTGCCTTTCCAGTCCCGAGACTTGCCAACACCAACTCCACCTGCGGTGAGCACGAGCAACAAACTGCAAGGGGCCCGTCAGCAGAAGCACCCCGCTGGCCCCGCTCCTCAAAGACCCATCTGCCGCCATGACTCTGCAATGCCAAAGGCAGGAAACCAGCCCTGTCAGAGGACGAAAGCCAATGGGCAACCCACACTTTTCTCCAGGCCTGGCTCAGTGGCAGAGACCAAACCCCCTCAAATCCTACTTCATCTGAGTGGTTACCCACCAAGTAGCACTTCCTGTTGCTCTGAAACTCCTACAGCTTCTCCACACTGACACAAGGGCTGATTCAGCTCTAAACAAAGTCTAACCTGTTCAACAATACCTGTGGGCCAGGTACCACAGAGTACAGAGACAGAACCAAAATGAGTCACACGTCAAGGATTTAGGAAACACTTCCGGGAAGGAGTACTGCAGCTTGCCGGCCCCTAAGGGAACATGGCAGAGAAAATGACCCAGGACAGCTGAAATGAGGGACACAGACTCAGACCCAGCCCCCATGCAGGAAAAGACAATTCACACTTGCACTGTCTGCAAAGAGAACTTCATGGGAGCAATGGGCCCAGAGTCAGAACTTGAGACAAGAGGGCAAGAGTTTGGAGGCTTGGGACATGGCAGTGGGTCCCAGGCTCAGTCCTGAGACAGGGAGTGTGAAGACTGAAGGGGAGAGGGGACCATTTGAAACCGTTTCCCATCCTCCCCAACAACCTGTCTGTTGACTTCTTCAAAACACTCAATGTCCATGTCCTGTAACTCCACCTCCCCTGCTCAGCTTCCCCTGGCTGAGCTCCCCACCAGATATTCTGCATTTAGCAGCAAGCCACACAAGCATTCTCCCGGTGAACTCCAAACCCATCAGGTTCCTGAAAGGTTCCAGGTCTTCCTGGAACTCCTCCCCTTTCGATCGCCCCACCCAACCCCTATCCAAGCACCACCTTCTGCAAGCCCAGGTGCTCAGTCAACACTAGTGACATGCCCAGCAGGAAACCTTCCACCAGGCCAACTCTTGGCTTCAGCCCTAGGATTATCTGCCAGGTGTGCTTTCAGGAACCTTAACTAGGAGGCCAGGGCTGGAGAGTTTTACACGTGAATCAACATCCTGTTTGTCTTCTATTTTGTAATTAGGAGCAGAGCCAGTGTCCCACTCCAAACACCCCTTCCCCTCCTCCCTACAATCCTCAGATTGGTCACTCAGGGTCTAATTATCTAAGAGTCAATCTCAGGGGCATTCTTTCATCAGATCCAGGGGTGGGGGGTGGGAGGCAGGGTGCTGAAAAGACCGAGTATCATATGTGCTCGCATTTGAAGTAAAAATAACCTACAACTATGACTAAGGTGAATTAGCATTACTCTTTCTGGCACATTTGCATTATCTGTGACTAAAACTAACTCTTAATCTACTATCAACTATTTTATGAGACAGAAACTGTAACTGCTACTTTACCTTCATGTTCTAAATTTGTCTTACATTTTAGAAAAAAATATGTTTAAGTGGATAATAATTGAGAAAGCAACAATGTAGATGCATTCTGATAGATTAATTACCCTCTCCCAGAGGATTCCTGGTACAGTAAAGCTTTACTTTTTTAAGTTGTCTTGAAACAGTATAATGAAAGGATGAATTGCCTTAACTGTAATCTATAGTTAATTGGCTCAGAATCAATTGTTTCATTGTTGAATAGCCAGCCATTGCCTCAAAACCCAATGGCCAAGAGCAACTTAAAATCTGACTCAAATACAACACGGGAAAACGGGAGTAGAAATTCTAGTCAATGACTACTAAAACCCACTGTTTTAAAAGAAAATCAAAACAATAAAATACAAACCCATACTATAAAAGAAAAATGATAGCTCACAAAAGCCTACTTCTACCCTGGAGATGACTGTCACTTTCTGGAAGGTCATTTCTCTTAGCTTGGCCAAATGAGCAACTGAAATGGCTGTAAGGTGGGAAGTAGGGAGGGAGAGGGCCAGAAGGCTGACGTCTCAAACTTTGATTTCAATCCACAGGGGTGGTTTTGCAGTAACTCAAGAGTTCTCATTTCCTGATCATAGGTGATGCCACCCTCAGAATGGTCTCTGTCATGTTTCTGAAACTTGAAGGATGTGATTTTTTCTGGGAAGCCTTAAGCGTGGCAAATGTTGGGCTGGCAAGGAGCAAAGTCAACTGCTATTATGTAGGCCCAACTGAGACCTAGAAAAGAAAGAGTAAGACTTGTATATTCCCTAGGGTAAATATAGGTAATAACTATTTTTTTCCAACCGAGCCTTTGTTCAGTTTCAATCTGGTACAGCTTCCGGGATACTCTTCCTCAACCACACAAACCTTGTAAAGGTAATCAACAAAATAATTTCTATTACTATCTGGAACAACAGTGTGAGTATTGTATTTGATGAAAATATAAGCTCCAAAAGGAAATTCATATCCTTTTGCAAGGGCAGTGAAAAACTAGGATAATAGTAAGATTGAAAAATTTATTTCCTACCTGGCCCTTCCTTGACACTCCTTAGTAAGAGCAACGTTCCCTTTGAAATATTCTATGGACAACACCTTCTTAGAGCGCTGATGGGGTGAGTGTTGTGACTAAAAACTATGGAGCACCAATTCTCTAAATGCAAGTCACTGGGAAAGTCAGGCCACCGTGTTACCGCCGCGCCCCCCCACCCCGCCCCCAACACTAATTCAAACGTCTTGAATGTGAAAAGAGAAGAACCCAAGGGTCCTGATTCCAAAACCAATAGGTACACTGGAACGGAGAAAAGGTGTTCACACACCAGGGGCAAAAGAATCTAGGGAAGAAGAGTATAGATTCACAGAAAAGTCCAGGATGTAGGAAACCTCCACCGACGAGCAGTGAGAGCTAGAAAGAGACTGCTAGAAAGAGAGACGCGAGGTGGAATGGCTAGAGATCCTTGAAAGTAGTAGGCGCTAGAGCGCCATCCTCATTCCCCGGCCCAGGGCAGGGAGTTTGGAGGCTCGGGTCGAGCAGGTGACCAGGGGAGCCCGGGGCTCGGAGCGCGGAACGGGTCTCCTCAGCAGGAGGCAGGGGGTGTAGGCGGGCCGCAGTCCAGGATGACCCCGCCCCTCCTGGCCGGCCTGCGCAGCCCTCACCTTATCTGAGTCCAGGTCGGGGTCGGCCTGGCACAAACGGTACAGGAAAGATTTCGGATCCCGGCACAGCGTCTGCCGGGTGGTGAGAAAGTACGTGCCGCCGACGTTGAGCCGGACCCACTTGGACACGTTTCCGGGTCGCTGGGACAAGGCGCCGAGCCCCGCGTTGCAGCGCCGGCACAGGCTGCCCCCCAACCCCACCCCGAAACTGCCTGGGGCCGGCTGCATAAGCTCGCAGTGATTCTCCGCCATGATCCCAGCAAGCCCAGCCACAGCTCTCCTCCACCGGAAGTGTCCGTCTTTTAATATGTTCCTCCCAGCTCTGTCCCGCCCACGGGTCCGCTTTAGTAAAGCTCCCGCCAGGGCGTCACGCGGAAGGCGAAAATTCCTGTCCGGAATTGCGGAAGATAGTGCCCCCTACCGTCCGGAGTCTGGGGTGCCCAAGGGGGAGCGCGTGGGCCAAACCCGGCAGGGGGCGCGGGAGTAGAGAGGGTCTCATTAGCCTTCCCCGGGCTCCCACCAATATCCAGGGCTCGACCAACACCTACTGTGACCAAAGGAAGAGGTACACCAGCCAGCGTCTACACTCCACATGCTTTTTAATTACAAGACTGCCGCGCATACGTCTAAAATTCATCATCTGGCAACTACAGCTAAAGCAGAAATATTTGAAAAAAGAGAGATTCATTAAATTATGATATGATGAAATCTTGACCAAATAGAATACTTATATAATAAAGTCAGAAAAAAGTTTTACAATATAGATTACAATAACTATTCACATTCAAGTCTGTACATCTATACACACAACAATCTGGCCCCCAACGTAATGAAATTAATCCAAACAATTCATACATTAGACTTTAAATAACACAGACTGAATTAGAGGCCAACAGTAGCCAGCAAATAACCTTACATAAGAATAAAAATACAAAAGTGTATATCCTAATATCATTGCATTATTTGTTTTTCATAATTTTTAAAAGGTTTTATTTAATTTTAGAGAAAGGGGAAAGAGGAGAAAGGAGAGAAATATCAATGTGTGGTTGCCCCTCCAGTACCCTCTACTAGAGAGGTGGTGGGCAACCCACACATATACTCTTGATTGGGAATCAAACCAACATCCCTTTGGCTGGTAGGCTGGCACTCAAGCCACTGAGCCACACCAGCCAGGGCTGTTTTTTGTAAGTTTGTTTTTTTTTTTAATATTTGCTTTGCCTATACATCAGTTACAGCTACAGACCAGGTAGAGAATATTACGCGTGTTCTAACTGACTGCCACCAACCTGAAAGACGGCTACCACCCCACCAACTCATCCAACTTCGTGATCAGGAACAGGTATGGCAGCTCTAAATACTGCAAAATTTGATTCTGTCAACATCCAATCAATCTTAGGATGGTAATAGAGGCTTTTCACCTGTAAAATAACTGCTATTTATAGCCATTCAGCCAGATGGGTTAGACAAGGGTGCATTACACAACTAAAAAAGGTTTGCCTGCACATCAAATTTGGTGTTTCCTCATACTGAAGAAATGAGTTACAGGGACAATTCAGGCACACACGTAGGCTCGTTCAGTGGCACACCACAGCTATCAGAGCCTGAGAGAAACTCCCTCTCTATTGGACCGCTTCTGCCCCAGACCAGTCATCCACATGCAGCCTGATCGACAACCCTGCCTGTGCCCCCCAGAGGCTCTCGGAGTGACCCCTTGCCCTGATTTAAAGCACTCTGCAGGCAGGCTGCCCAAGAGGCCAGGGCCACACCCGCTTGGGTCACCATCAGTTCAGATTAGGTTTGGCTAGGAAAAGAAGCAACACGGAAACACGCGTATGGCAGCATCTCCAAGAACAGTACCATCACCAAACTCTCCCAGCGGCTGCACCCTCTGCCGTGTGGGCAGAGAGCACCCTCAGTCCATGGACTGACCGGCGAAGGGAGGGGGTGGCTTATCAGAGGAGGGCAGGAGACCGGACTCTGTGCAATTCAGCCACAATCTCTGGCAGAGGCAAGTGGCACTGAGCACGGTACCTGGAAACACCTCTCGTGCGTGTTTCCCTTCGGAATTGATGGGCTAAAAACTGAAGTGGAGAAAGTAAGAATGAAACCAAATTTGGGTGGTCTGGACTTAAAGTCAACAGCCACAGCCCTAACTAGTGTGGTTCAATTGGTTGGAGCGTCATCATCTTCTAAACCAAAAGGTCACAGGTTCAATTCCTGGTCAGGGCACATGCCTAGGTTGTGGGATCCATGCCCAGTCAGTGCACATACAAGAGGCAACCCATCGATTGATGTCTCTGCTCTCTCTTTCTTTTTCCCTTCCTCTCTTTGGAATAAAAAAATAAAAATAAAAACATTTAGGGGAAAAAAGACAACGGCCACAGACATGGTGCTGCAAAGCTGCCCTTCTCTCTGCAGAATTTAAATGTCAGATGTGCTACTTAGCATCCATGCATGTGGGTGTAGAAGACTTCAAGTTTGATCTGCACCAGCCCAGTACCCAAAACACCTGGTCAGACAGATGTGCTACCAACGCTCATGTGTCCAGTCCATGAGCAGTGAACCTGGGAAGAGGCAAAGTAGGCCCAACTTTTTGCTCCTGTGGCTGCCCCAACATGGCGTTTGTCCTGAGACCTACCAGGGCAACACTAAAGTACAGTCTGATAGGAGGAAGCCCACCACCATGAGCTTCCAGGGATAGGAAATTTGGGGTTCCTGATGCATATTCTATCCCAGTGGTTTTCAACTGGAGTGATTCTGCCCTTTGCCCCCCACCCTCCCAAGGAACTCTTGGGAGACATTTTGGGTTCCCAGTACCAGGGAAGGAAGAAAGTGTTACTGGCATCTAGTGCGTAGGGGCAGGGATGCTGTACTACCCTACAATAAACAGGACAGTTCCATTTGAGAGGTACTTGTAAACTTGGTCCTCCCTCCCCCAGGAAAAACGCCACCCAGTGAACAGTCACCACCCTCAAAGCATTCAGCACTAGGACAGACCCTGTGTTAAGCCAAGCACTGTACCACCCCTTAGAGCAGGAGGGAGAAAGAAGCCCAAGTACTGGAAGCTGGGATCCACAGAGGTAGCTGTGCCCATGTTGGAAAGGGCATGGTAAAAAATGTTAATGCTGCCCTGGCAGATTGCTCAGTTGGTTAAAGCATCATCCCAATATATCAAGGTTGCAGATATGGTTGCATTGGCTGATTCTTGTATGTGGTCAGATCACATACAAGAATCAGCCAATGAATGCATAAGTAAGTGAAACAAAAAGTTGATGTTTTTCTCTTTCTCTCTCTCTTTCAAAATCATTAACATCAAAATCAGAACAAAAACGTTAATGCTGTTCTCTGTGATGCCTAGAATGTGGCAGAAGTAGTGATGTGTGACTTCTGAGATTAGGTTATAAATGTCACTGCAGCTTCCATCTCGAGTGCGCTCTTTCTCTCGAAATATTCACTCTGGGGATAACCAGCTGTCATGGTATGAAGATACCCAGATAGTCCTGTAAAGAGTTTGCCCACTGGTGAGGAATTAAGGCTTCTACCAATAGCTGAGTGAATGGGCAATCTCTGAAGTGGATCCTCTGGCCCACTAGCACTTATGTCACATTAAACCAGTCAGGCCTTTAAATGACTCAGCCCTGGCAAACATCTTGACTACAACATCATGAAAGACACTGAGCCAGAACCATTCAAGATGCTCCTGGATTCCTGACTGTCAGAAACCATGAAATAATAAATGTTTGCTGTTTTCTGTCTTTAAGTTTTGGGGTAACTCGATCCACATTAGGTAAATAATACACTGGCTGTGCGACATCAGGCTAGTTTCTGTTTCCTCCCGTGTGTAAGGAGGGTTATGGGAACGAGTAAGAAACGTAAAATAGCACAGGCCTGATGCAAGCACGGAATCTGGTTTGCAGTGAGCACACTAATGGGCCATGTATATATGGCAGACTTTCAGCCCCCTCCCAGGGTGATTATGGTAATTCTCCTGCCCCTCCCTGGGTGGAACTTGACCTCCCAATCTCAGGCCAAGTCATGCACTCTTGGCCCAAGATCACTCCACCACAGACAGCGGCTCTGGGTGAGGAAGCAAGAGAGGAAAGCTGGGGGCTGTCCCTCCCCTTCCTCCAGCCAGGATGCCTACAAACTCTGTTGGGCCAGGTGAGTCCATCTCCCCTCCTGCCCACTGTCCTGGGAGGGGCATCCAGAGCCAACCCACCAAGGGGGTACCCTGCCTCTCACCAGGACTAAGGATTGGACTGGCCTGGCTTGGGCTCTGCACACTGGTTGCCATTCAGGCCCCACTAGAACTGAGAATGGTCCTATCTTCCTCTCTCTGCTGCCACTCCCCGCCCTGCTCCTACTCTCTGCTCAGCTACCTTTCTCAGGACCACCCCACCCCTCCCCTCCCCCCTTCCCTGAGGGGGGCTCCAACTGCTGCCCCACCAGGCTCTAGTGTTCACCATGTTCCTTCTCACCTTCCTGTACTCTGAGTTACTCAGGAACTGCATGGCCATCTTTGGTGCCATAGGTTCTGATTTAAAAAAGAGTTAAGACTCCAGTTCATCTTCTACAACTTTTTGCTCTGCCTTCAGAGCTTTGCCCTGTTCTTTTCAGTAACTACATAGAATTTTCCAGCACCGATGTATCAGCACTTATCATTCTCCTGTTGATAAGAATTTTGGATGTTTCTTCTTCATCTCTTATGTCACATTAAAACTATGATGTTGGGAAGATCCATGCACAGCTTTACATTCATGATTGAGAGCTTCTTAGAATTTCCACAAAGAGGACAGGTTCATTTCATTAATCTTTTAAATATGGAATGCTTCACCAATTTGCCGGTCATCCTTGCATAGGGGCCATGCTAATCTTCTTTGTATCGTTTTCATTTTAGTGTATGTGCTGCCAAAGTAAGCACCCATTTTATTATTTTTTATTTCCATCAATGTTACAGATCCCAAGTGGTTCTAAAAAGGCTTGTAATGAGAAACAGCAGCCCTGCCTCAGTCTCCATACTCATATTCTACTTACTACATGTTTGAATGTTCTTCTTGTGATTTATGTCCACCTTCCTAAATAATACTTTTTTAATATACTTTATTGATTATACTATTACAGTTGTCCCATTCCCCCCCTTTATTCCCCTCTGCCCTGTGCACCCCCTCCCACCCACATTCCCCCCTTTAATTCATGTCCATGGGTCACACATATAAGTTCTTTGGCTTCTACATTTCCTATACTATTCTTAACCTCCCCCTGTCTATTTTCTACCTACGATCTATGCCACTTATTCTCTGTACCTTTTCACCCTCTCTCCTCCTCCCACTTCCCCACTGATAACTCTCCATGTGACCTCCATTTCTGTGATTCTGTTCCTGTTCTAGATTTTTGGGGTTAGTTCATTTTTGTTTTTGTTTTTGTTTTAGGTTCAGTTGTTAATAACTGTGCATTTGTTGTCATTTTACTGTTCCTATTTTTTATCTTCTTTTTCTTGAATAAGTCCCTTTAACATTTCATATAATAAGGGCTTGGTGATGATGAACTCCTTTAACTTGACCTTCTCTGAGAAGCACTTTATCTGCCCTTCCATTCTAAATGAAAGCTTTGCTGGATAGAGCAATCTTGGGTGTAGGTCCTTGCCTTTCCTGACTTGGAATACTTCTTTCCAGCCCCTTCTTGCCTGGAAGATTTCTTTTGAGAAATCAGCTGATAGGCTTATGGTAACTCCTTTGTAAGTAACTATCTCCTTTTCTCTTGCTTTTAAAATTCTCTCCTTATCTTTAATCTTGGGTAATGTAATTATGATTTGCCTTAATGTGTTCCTCCTTGGTTCTAACTTCTTTGGGACCCTCTCAGCTTCCTGGAAGTCTATTTCCCTTGGCAGATTGGGGAAGTTCTCCTTCATTATGTTTTCAAATAAGTTTTCAATTTTTAAAATATATTTTATTGATTATGCTATTACAGTTGTCCCATTACCCCCCTTCACTCCCCTCCACCCTGTACACCCTCTCCCACCCACCTCTCCCCTTCAGTTCATGTCCATGTGTCATAAGTTCTTTAGCTTCTACATTTCCCATACTATTCTTGCCCTCCCCGTCTATTTTCTACCTACCATCTATGCTACTTATTCTCTGTACCTTTTCCCCCTCTCTCCTCCTCCCACTCCCCTGTTGCTAACCCTCCATGTGTTCTCCATTTCTGTGGTTCTGTTCCTGTTCTAGTTGACTGCTTAGTTTTTGTTTTTGTTTTAGGTGTGGTTGTCAATAATTGTGAGTTTGCTGTCATTTTACTATACATGTTTTTATTTTCTTTTTCTTAGATAAATTCCTTTAACATTTCATAAAATAAGGGCTTGGTGATGATGAACTCCTTTAACTTGACCTTATCTGAGAAGCACTTTATCTGCCCTTCCATTCTAAATGAAAGCTTTGCTGGATAGAGCAATCTGGGATGTAGGTCCTTGCCTTTCATGACTGGAATGCTTCTTTCCAGCCTCTTCTTGCCTGCAAGGTCTCTTTTGAGAAATCAGCTGACAGTCTGATGGGAACTCCTTTGTAGGTTACTGTCTCCTTATCTCTTGCTGCTTCTAGGATTCTCTCCTTCATTTTTATCTTGGCTAATGTAATTATGATGTGCCTTGGTGTGTTCCTTCTTGGGTCCAACTTCTTTGGGACTCTCTGAGCTTCCTGGACTTCCTGGAAGTCTATTTCCTTTGCCAGAATGGGGAAGTTCTCCTTTATTATTTGTTCAAATAACTTTTCCACTTGTTTTTCCTCTTCCCCTTCTGGTACCGCTATAATTTGGATGTTGGAACATTTAAAGATGTCCCAGAGATTCCTAAGCCTCTCCTCATTTGTTTTGAATTCTTGTTTCTTCCTTCTTTTCTGTTTGGTTGTTTCTTTCTTCCTTCTGCTCCATTCCATTGATTTGAAACCCAGTTTTCTTTCCATCACTATTGGTTCTGTGTGCATTTTTCTTCATTTCACTTATTGTAGCCTTCATTTTTTCATCTAACTTGCGACCAAAATCGACCAACTCTGTGAGCATCCTGATTACCAGTGCTTTGAACTGTGCATCTGATAGGTTGGCTATCTCTCGGTTGCTTAAAAAAACTGGTTGTGGGGCTTTCAATTCTGTTTGAACCATCTCCCCACCTCGCCCCCTTTGGCCTGGTCGCGCCTGTCACATATGAGGGGTGTAGCTTTAGGTGTTCACCAGGGCCGGTCACCCCAGTCACTGGGCTGTGATGTTGTGTGTGGGGGTGGGGTCCGAGAGGGAACAATGGCACTTACTCTGCTCTCTGTCAGACTTCAGTCCCTTCTGCTGCTTCCCCTGAGCAAACTGGGCCCCTCCGGTGCCAATTCCTGTGTGGGTGGGCTTGTGCACTCCGTGGGACTTTCCAAGGATCTCTCCTGTGAGGCTGGGAGTCTCTCCTTGCGCCTAAACACCCCACAGGTGTTTTCAATCAGTGTCCTGAGGCTCTATTTCCCAGCACTGTGATCCTGGGTTGCGCGCAGTGCCTTGCTTCACAGTTCCCTCCTTGCTGTGTCTGCCGTTTGCCACCCCTCGGCCAGGATCTGCCTGCTGCCACTTGCGTGCTCTGGGTCCACCCGCTGTGGTCTTGCACGCTCTGGATGTCTTATGTGCCTGGTCCCAATGCTCTCTGCACTGTGCCCCGCACCCAGCTGCCTGTCTCTGCCCCTCATACCGGTCTGGATGAATGGGTTTATTTTAACTTCTTGGTTGTCTGACTTCCATACATTCAATTTTCTATCAGTTCTGGTTGTTATTCTGTTTCTAAATTGTTGTTGTCCCTATCTTGGTTGTGCGAGGAGGCACAGTGTGTCTACATATGCCTCCATCTTGGTTGGAAGTCCTCAGTTTTCAATTTCTTGCTCTTCCTCTTCTCCTTCTGGCACCCCTATGATTCGAATGTTGGAATGTTTAAAGATGTCCTGGAGGTTCCTAAGCCTCTTCTCATGTTTTTGAATTCTTGTTTCTTCATTCTGTTCTGGTTGAACGCTTCTTTCTTCCTTCTGGTCCAAACCATTGATTTGAGTCCTGGTTTCTTTCCCGTCACTGTTGGTTTCCTGTACATTTTCCTTTATTTCACTTAGCATAGCCTTCATTTTTTCCTCTAATTTGCGACCACATTCAACCAATTCTGTGAGCATCATGATTACCAGTGTTTTGAACGGTGCATCTGATAGGTTGGCTATCTTTTCATTGCATGGTTGTATTTTTTCTGGAGCTTTGATCTGTTCAGTTCTTTGGGTCATTTTTTTTCTCTTGGCGCATCTGTTGCGTCAAAGGGGTGGAGTCTTTGGTGTTCACCAGGGTGGGGCAACCCACGTCGCTATGTTGTGACGCTATATGTGGGGGAGGGGTTCAGGAGGCCACAGTGCCGCTAGCTCTGCTCTTTGCCGGTTTTCAGTCACTTCTCCCAGTACCCACAATCAAATTGGGCCCTTCTGGTGCTGATTCCCAGGTGAGTGGGTTTGTGTACATTCTAGCGCTCTGTGGGTCTCTCCAGGGAACTCTTCAGTGAAACGAGGTTTCTCCCACTGCCGCCTCAAACCCCACAGGTGTTTTTACTCAGAGTTTTGAGGCTTTATTTCCCTGAACTGGAACCCTGGGTTGCTCAGTCTGTCTCGATCCCCAGCTGATCCTCCCAGTTTATCTGTACGAGGGTGTGGGACCCACCCCCCAACCACTACCCAATCCACTAATCCACTACCCAATCCACTACCTCACCTGGTCCCCCACCTGCTGCCTTGCCTGCCCCAGTCCTCCAACCGCTGCCTTGCCACTAGTCCTCTCCAGCCTGGCCATCTCCACCCCTCCTCCTGGTCTGGATGAATATTTCTTCTTTAACTCCTTGGTTGTTGGACTTCATTACAGTTTGATTTTCTGTCAGTTCTGGTTGTTTTTTGTTTAAAATGTGTTATTTTTCTCTTGGTTGTGCAAAGAGGCACAGTGTGTCTACCTATGCCTCCATCTTGGCCAGCACTCCTAAACAGTATCTTTGAATTGAACTGTGCATCACTTATAGTCATTTCCTATTGCCTTTCTGGCAAAAGGGGTGAGGAGTCAACTCACTCCACCTTCCCTCCATCTCCAGGTCCTACCAAGGTAGAGTGCAATAATTACTGGTTGAATCAGTGCATCTGTACTATGAGTAAATATCTCTTGACAGCTGAGATGAGTTGGGAAGCCTAGGAAATTGTGTTTGTGCTTATTTTCTAGTATGGCTGTTTCTCTGAGGTTTTCCTCATCTCTCTGCAACCCAGGCATGTGTCCTGACTGGGAATCAAACCAGAGACCTTGTGGTTCAAGGGCTGATGCTTAATCCACTGAGCCACACCAGCCAGAGTTCCCTGCCAGGTTCACAATTCAATGTTTTAACGTGGTGCCCTGTTCAGGTAGCTCAGTTTGTTGGAGCATCATGCTGATGTGCCAGGGTTTTGGATTTGATCCCCAGTCAGGGCACATATAGGAATAAACCAATAAAGGCATCAGTAGGTGTTTCTCACTCACCCTCTTTCTTCTTTCCACTCTCTCTCTAAAATCAGTCAATTAATAAATTAATTTAAAAACCTTTATGTGGTGAAACCCACTAGAGAATCTATCAGTTCAAGTATTTTTCTGGAGCCCTTGAGTGTGCATGTTCCCCATTCTTACCCAGAATTTCTCCTCATTATCCTTGTAAAATTGTACCGACTCCCTGCACACTCCTGAGTCCTCCCTTCACTGATTTTCTATCTCTCCCACAGCGCTTACTACCTTCTAACATCCCATGGGATTTGCTTATTTATTATGCTTGCTGTCTTCACCCCCACCCCCAACCATAAGCCAGTGGTACCGGAGTCCCACGAGGGCAGAGATTTTTGTGTTTTGTCACCAACAAATAGCTGATAC